ATATATATATATATATATATACATACACATATATATATATGTATATGTACATATATATGTATCTACATATATATATACATATATATGTATATATATATGTATTTATTTATTCATTAATAGATGGAGGAATTGAGCTGTGCGAACCGGTTGGCTCTTTGGTAGGCTGAATGTGTTAGATCCATGGGGTCCCGGTTTCGAGGCTCGCCTTGGACAACACATAGTTGGATAACAAACGTACTTTGCGATCCATCTTAAAAAAATGGTGGAATTGAGTTATATTTAAGGCATGTTATCCCACACCATGGTTTTCACCTTTGATTTTGATCCTGTCTGTGGTACTTTTTGTGCTCTTGATTTTGTTATTTATTGCCAATGGGACTGCTGGCCACTAGAGTTTTGTAAGAAAACTGTCACAGAAGCTCCGTTGAGATTTTTATCTAATATAGGATCATATTTGTAAATAGATGAAGTTTAGGGTTTAATTTGTAATTGTGAAGAAAAACTTTATATAAGCCTCTCATCAATGGAATGAAGGTAATTTTTATGGAGCAATTATTTTTATTTGGTATCAGAGCCAACCCTAGGACGGCTAAGTTGCTTGAATAGGGAAGAAGATGGATCGAGCGACAACAAGAGGAGAAAGAGACGGGAGCTTTGGTGGGCCTTTTGAGTTGGGATCAGCTTCAATGTCCTTCTGTGTTGCGATCGGTCCTTCTGCGCTATGATCCCGTAGTGTGCGTGCAGGGAGCTTCGACGGGCCTTTTGCATGCGATTAGCTTCACTGATATGCATGCGCTGCAATCGCTGCTTCCCTTGTTGGCTAGTTGCAGCTTCGGTGGTATCTCGAAAGCTGTAGTCACGGAGTGGAGTGTTTTGTAGCTGAGAAGGCACTGAAAGGATTGCGGCTAGGGCAGAGAAGCCTTCACACGCGGCTGTGGTTTGAATAGGGAGGAGATCGAGCGATAGAGAATTTGAGTGCAGGGATTGGCGAAGCGGCTTTGACTGGCTGGATTTGCGTGCGATTCTTAACAAAATGATCAGGGGAAGAGTAGAGCTTGGCTCGATCTGCGTTACTAACAGGAGAGGCGACTGATTGGAAATATCACGAGGAAGGAGCGAACAGTTGGGCTCGATTTCAGCGTGTTAACAGAGAGGAGAGGTGCGACTTCGTACCGGCTAAGGCAAAGAGATCGCTCTAACTTGCAGGAAGGACGTTGTGTATGATCTAAACTTTGATCATTGTGATTGAAAATGTCTCGAGACAAAGATTGTGCTGGAGGTAAGACATTAGAACTTATGGGGAAGATGAATCTTGTAGTTTTAAAGGTCTTGGTCGGGCTCATACAGGGAGCTAATGCCTTGACAGGAACTGAGACTTCAAAACATGCTTCGACGCAAGAGAGTCGCATGAAGCTGCACTCTGGTTCAAATTAGCATTGGTTGCTGCGTGATTTTTTTGGGTATCAATTAGCATTGGATGCTGCGAGTTCAGGTACGTTAGGTGTCCAGGGGGAGACTTGCAAGTGCTACAACTGTGGTGAAGTTGGCCATCTGAGAAGGGCCTTTCCTAAGCAACCTAAGGAGAGAGACTGGAGGGTGAGGTCGAGGTCGAGGTCGAGGTCGTGGTCGTGGTCGTGGACGTGGAGGTCAGAAAAGTGGAGGAGGAGGCTACTGAGCAAATCTTACGGTAGCATATGAAGAGGGAGAGACATGTGTGATCTTTATTAGTGAGGATCATTAGTGTCTGGAGCTGTTGAAGTGGTAGCGGAAAACAACAGGAGATGGAGTTGAGGATGTTTCAAATCCATCGACGTCAAGGGGTAACATTATCATTTATGCTCGCTTTAGCAAAGGTAGCGGTGACACTTGCTCTTGCCTTTATTTCTACCACAGGTTCATCAAAATGGATCTTAGAGTGCTTTTCGTCATGTGACAGGTACTTTTGGAGAGTTCTCTTCATATACTCATTTAGCAATACCACAGAGTATACAGATTGTTCATGATACATCACAACCTGTAGTTGATAGTGATACAATGAGATGTATCAATCATATGATTTTGTCTATTATTTTGAATGGTGATTTTTTTTTTCTAGTAAACCTTTTAACCATTATTGTCTTTATTCTTCAGCTAGAATGCATTGTTTCTTTTGATATTTTTTATGTGATCTTCCTAGAGAAAGGAATGGGCCAACACTTGGGACTGGAACTTGACACAGCGGAATCTGTTACTTGGACCGAGAGGAGATGGACTTAGCTTTGACATTCATGGTGGAAAGTGTTGCAGTAGGAGAATCTGGGGGGAACATTGAGGATGTGTTACTGCTAAATCACAGACGTGTGGGACTTTCAAGTCTTAATTTACTGTGTCGATTGTATCCATATATGTATGAAAAGACTAGTAAGGAGAAACTGATGCGTGCTGCTTGTGAGTTCGGCAAGCTAACTAGCAATTCTTATGTCAATTCTAGAAAAAAGAGCTCTGGTGTGTTTAATTCGATACACTCTGATGTATGAGGACTTTTTCCTACTAGTTTTATGAATGACTATCATTATTTTGTTACATTTATTGATTATTTTTCTCGTGTTACCTGGATATACTTGATGAAATAGAAAAGTGAGGTGATTGTTTGCTTTAAAGATTTTCACAAGTCAGTCCATACCCAATATGGTGTAGTTGTGAAGACATTGAGATCTGATAATGAAACAAAATATATCAACACAATATTTGAGGACTATCTGTCAGCTCAAGGGATACAACACCAAACCATATGACCATGCACCACCACAGAATGGAGTAATAGAGAGGAAAATCAACATCTTCTAGAGATATCCCAGAGTATGATGATGATAATGAATGTCTCACAACATTTATGGGGGCAAGTAGTGTTAACAACCGCTCAACTGATTAACAGAATGCCCTCAATAGTGTTGGAGTGGAAGTCTCTTTGTTAGATTTTGAAAGAGATAATAATGTGATTCTTTCATTGAAGATATTTAGATTGTATGCTTTGTAAAAGACACCAGACGATCCTTAGGGAAGTTGGATCCCAGAGTTGTGAAATGTGTGTTCATGGGTTACTTTGCTACTCAGAAAGATTATGTCTGCTCGTGCTCAATTGAGAAGAAACTCTTTGTGAGTATGGATGCGTCATTTAGAGGGTTTCAACCATACTATACTCTAGAGGTGAATTCATCCTTCGATGACTCAACAAACAATGACGATTTGAGGCAAGAGTGCGTAGTAATGGTGATGGAGTGGTGCGAGTGGAAACAATGCTAGGTCCAATGATGTAGGAAGAATCAACTGAGGAGATGGAAATTGAGGAGATTTACCTCAAGTGGTGGTATTTAGGGTGATGGTGAGTTAAGGGTGTATAGATGGAGGAAGAAACAAACTGAGGAAATAAAGTGCAGTGCCAACAAGTTTTTTGTCTCAGTCTTTCCCAACTCTTGAGATGCCTATATCATTCACTATTGATTCAAAACTCTCAGGTGATATTATTTCTCCTACCCCCAATATTAAGGAGGATTTCCCACAGTAATGTGGGACATCTTCCTAATCGTTTTGGTTGGGAACTTGACATTATAAACTTTATTTATTATTCTAGCATCTCACACGTGCATGAAGCATTCATTGCATCATTTGATTTTGTCTCTATACCATAGTGTTGATAGGTTGCTAAGGAGAATCCCAAGTAGAAAGTTACGATGCATCGAGAGCTTGAAACTCTTGATAAAAACCAAACATGTGAGATTGTATTACTACCAGCCTGGAAGAAGACAACCGAATGCAAGCGGATCTTCACGATAAAACAAACTTCAGAAGGGAAAGTGGAGAGGTACAAAACACGAGTAGTAGCAAAAGAGTACAGTCAGACATATGACATTGATTATGATGAAACTTTTTGCACCCAGCAAAGATGAGCATGATGAGAACACTAGTTTCTTCGGCGGTGAATGGTGGATGGAGATTTTACCAACTAGATGTAAAGAATGCTTTTATTCATGGAGAACCATTGGAGTAGATATATATGAATATACTACTAGGATTTTGTACTCCCAAATAGCGGTCAAAGTAGCTTCAGGAAGTCACTGTATGGCTTGAAACAGTCTCCTCAAGCCTGGTTTGCCGAATTTAAAATGACAATATTTGACTTGGGATATCGACAGATTAATGCAGACCACACGGTGTTCTTTCGACAACATGTCATACTACCATACTTGCTATGTATGCGGATGACATAATTATCACTGATGATGATGAAATAAATATTGCTCAACTGAAGGGAAGATTAGGGAAGCATTTAAGGTAAAGGATCTGAGACAAATTAGATACTTTCTTGGGAATGAAGTGATCCATAGATCTGAGGGGTGGTCATATCCCAGAGAAAATATATATTAGATCTTCTCACAGAGACAAATATGCAGGGGTGCTAACCTGCAGTCTATCCAATTGATCAGAAGTTCAAGCTCAGTACATATGCAGGGGAATTGGTTGATTGTGAGAGGTATCAGAGACTGGTGGACTGTCTGATCTATCTGTGCCACACTTGGCTCGATATTTCTTTTGCAGTAAGTGTGATGAATTATATGCATGATCCAAGAAAGAGTCATATGAATGCAGTATATCAGATTTTGAAGTATCTGAAGAGTGCATCAAAGAAAGAGTTGATATTTAGAAAGAATGATCATGTAGATATTGAGTGCATTTGTGATTCTATCTGGGCAAGTTGTGCAGATGACAGACGATCCACATCAGGATACTGCATGTTTGTAGGCGGCAACTTGGTCTCGTGGAAGAGCAAGAAACGGTCAGTTGTAGCTGATCAAAAAAGAGCAAAATACAAGGTCATGACCTTAGGAATTTCCTAGATGATGTGGTTGACAGCTTTGTTGGTAGAGCTCAAGGTGGACCAATGAGCTCAATTGAAGTAGTGGGGCAACAACAAGTCAACGATCAACATCGCCAACAACCCGGTGCAACATGATAAAACCAAACATTTGGAGATTTATTGGCTCTTCATTAAGGAAAAGCTGAATAGCAAACTACTGAAACTAAGTCATGTAGTTATTGGAGAGTAAGTGGCTGACTGCCTCACCAAAGGACTTAGCTCTTTAGATTTGCTTAGGTTATGTGACAATATGGGTTTAGTGAATATCTTTTGCCCATTTTGAGGGGGAGTGTTGAGATTTGTATTTAATGTACGGTCTTATTTGTAAATAGATGAAGAATAGGGTTTTATTTGTATATGTGAAAAAAGACTTTATTTAAGTTCGTGCTGGTATTTTTTGGAGCAATTATTTCTATTACTATCAGAGTAGCTTTCTTAACATATATATCAACTCAAGGATAAAGGGATCATTTTGTCTCTTGTAATTAAAAAAATTCTCTTATAAAATTATGAATAGTATATTAGATTCCACCATATCGCAACCCTTTGCCATTATGCCAAAAAAGCTGACATTTATTTAGGCGGAGGTGTTGAAAAGAGATAGCAAGGCTAAGGTTAATTATCCAGACTCGCCAATTCAAACAAACTCTTGTGTTGTTTAATGCGAATTGTGTCGCAAAGGGAGGAGACAGATTATAGGAATAGTGTTTTATTTTTTAAATTTTTTGACACAAATTCTTTAGCGTAACAGCTAGAAGAACAAACTCTTCTGCTTTGTAGCAATAGAGTGATTAAAATAGCACTAAATAGAATAAGAATCTCATTGACCTGAGTTGGATAATAAATTGTTTCTTAGATGTGATGACTACTCGGTATGAGTTGTAATGAATCCAGATTTCCTTGAATAATGAAGTGTATGCAATGGATTCCAAATGCTTAGCCCTAGTTTTTCGACTTTTTAGCAATTTTCAACATCATGATGAATTATAATAGTAGCCAAGTTTTCCAAACATTACCAAGAAAAAAGGTGAATTTTTTTTTCTTTTTGACATTTTTTAATGGCTAGCGAGCACCAATTATATATTTATTTTTTCATGGAGAAATAGTTAAAATGAGAGTATGATTTTGTATCTGCTATTAAAGGGGATACTATATAAATTTAATAAAATAATTTTTTTTAAAAATGGTTTTAACTAGTGATTTAATCTCTATTATTTGGATGACTCACTAGGGTTACTTTTTCTTTATGTTTTCTTTTATATATTTGCTTTCGTCTTGGGTGGTTACATCTTAAGCGAGCTGGTTAGCAGAAGTATTCTTTATCTTTATTAATGTTCACCAACTTGATGTAGGAGACTCTTAAAGGAGCATGAGTGATATTACTGACGATTCTCAGTGAGTTGATTCACAGTATTAGATGTGCAAGCGAGTTCCCTCATCCAATTTGTTGTACCTAGTAGATGACATGGTTTTTGGTCCAGGAGTCTCGTGGTAGGTTTCGATCCTTACAACGTTGAAGCTACTTCTATTTTATAGATTGGTGGGCGTTGATCAGGGCGGAACCATTTTCTTTTTTGATGTGAGCCGACTAGGGGAGGGGGGGTGGGTGTTGCAAACTGTTCTCAGGACCAACATGGGAGGGGCTATGGTAATAAAGGGTAAAACTGATATTTCAAGAGGGATAAAAGAGCCGAGATGTTGAGGTTTTGATATCTTATCCATATCACACTCCTCGGCATTTATGTGCTTGTTGGCTAGTTTCAACATTTATGATTGCATACTTGACTGCATTAGCCCTACTATATGCTTGAACAACTTTTAACCTTTATGTTAGCACGGTAAGGGTGCTGATTGGCAGCATATACACACATTCAACATCTCTTGCTTAAAGCTGGTGATAAATCTTTGTAATAAAGCCTTGGCTATTTCCTAATCGTAATGAAGGCTTGCAAACTTTTTAGCTATTTTTGGGTGAGAAGGCAAATTGAGTGATAAAATTTCTCTTGAATTTGAGTATTATATTTCCCCAATAGGTGACGCCATAACCTTTTGAAAAGTACTAGATTGAAAGTAATAAAAATATACAACAGTTTAACACATGGATGATAGCAAGTCAGAAATGATTGATTCGAATTAAGCTACATGGTTTGCAGTCTTTGCTTTCCCTTGTGAGACTCAAGATTGGGGATTTTGAAATTTGTAAGAGGTTTGGCTAGTAAAATTACTTTTGAAAAAGTCTTGTTTAACTCCGACCTTCCCTTCTTCAATCATTGAACTGGGAGTCTAAATTTTTGCTTTGGTTTGGATATTCAGTTTCTTCCAGTGCCGGAGTTAAAAGTGAGCTTATGCTTGCGGGTTCTTTGAATTATTGAATTTTAAGGATCTTATGCTATCTCCTAAAAACACATGGCTTATTATATAGAATTTGGTTCTTAATCTATTAGAATTAAATGAAAGAAAACACTTGATAGGACACAATGGAGAAAAAAGATTCATGTAGCCGACCCCATTGTATTGGGATAAAGGCTTGTTGTTGTTGATGTTGTTATGCTATCTCCTAACTTAGGACTTCTAGGAGTACGCCACAAAACTCTCTGAATTATCTTTATAATTCTCTTGATTTTAGGATATTGCATTTATACTTGTCTGTCATAATCCTACTAGCAGTATTTGCAAGGTCTCGTAGAAAAAGAACAAAAGGTCTCGAAGAGAAGAAGAAGAAGACGAGATAATTTCTAGAGAGAAACTTGAGATTTCTATTGCGAACATTAAATTTTCATTAAGATCCCTTGCACAAATTGTAATTTGACCCTATATTTGTACTGGAAAAGCTACACCTTAATCTCATAAAAATAAAACTAAAAAAGTACAGGACAATACACGTACTATTGCTTGCACCTGGACATAATGGATACATATCATTCGATTTCTATATATTTACATTAAGACCTAAAATTTACTTTTTGTTTACTTGTATTCCATCCAAGTCTTTCACATCACATAAAAAAATACAACAATTTTAACTTTTAAATAGTGAAATACACATTTTCACGCATAGGCAAGGTGTTAGGTAAGGTGGCATATATGTAAAAATTCAAGTTTAGGTATTGAATCTGTAAATACATAGGATTTGAATGGTATGTATGTAAATCTTCCTTAAATTGATTTGCTTAATCTCGCTCCTCTAACTATGCCATTCTGTGGATGTCTTCAGGATGCTTACAGAACTGCCTCAGAACATGCCAAGGGTGCTGACCCAATGGCTGAGGATGTGCCATTGTTGAAGGTGATTTTTCATAAATATGAGTTTTATACTATTAAATTTGCTAAGATATTTTGATTTAATATTAGCTCTAATTGATTATTCATATATTCTATTTATCTAAATTTGCTAAGATATTTTGATTTAATATTAGCTCTAATTGATTATTCATATATTCTATTTATCTCAAAATAAATTTATTGGATATAAAATTCTTCCTGACTTGATTGTTTTTTTAATTATTTTCCAGGTGTTTGATAAGGCCTCAATGGTGATTGATCATGATCCATTAAAGATGGAGCATGAAAACCAATTTGGTCCGGCTTTGATGCATCCAAAGCCTTAGGGGCTGTTTGGTAATATTTTTTTTAATAGGATTTGCGTTGGATTTATGAATTTAGTGCCAAATAGTTAAATTTAGGCATGTTAAATCTGGCAACGATTAAATCCAAATTTCTTCTCATTTTCGTCCTTAAATCCGGATTTACTAAATCTAGTAGTTCGATGGAATTTACAAGATTTAGTAAATCCCGTTCAACTTAAATCCTTAGCAGCCAAACAGCCCTTTGGTTTTGCTTCCACATGGTTGTATACTCGTGTCTTCAGCGCATTTGTATATTTCACTATATATGAGTTGTATTTATTTTGATGTAATGATATTCTGAAACTATGGGAAATACAAAATTCAGTCTAAATGTTTTTGCTAATTATTTTTTATGTATCTCTCTCTCTCTCTCTCTCTCTCTCTCTCTCTCTTATATCTATATATGTATGTATGTATGTATGTATGCCACCACTTGAATAATACTGCCAACACTGCCCCTTCCAGGGAAAAAAATAGTACTTCCGGAGCAAGTTACGTTCATCATACAACAAACGCGATATGCCAGCGGTGATTTTTATTTTCTTTTCTCCTTCGTTCATCATGTGTATCTAACGTCATTCTGCACCTCACGTTGATATATATATATACAGACATACATATACATACATACATATATACATACATATACATACCTACATATATACATACATACATATATATATATATATATATACATATACATACATATATATATATATGTATATATCTGCTCCCCCCCCCCCCCCC